CACACACACACACACACACACACACACACACACACACACACATAGATCATTGATCAAAGACCTGAATGCAAGAGACAGCAAATATTTGTGCTCCTTAAAACTACAACAGAGTCACTGATGAAGCAGTGCCTGCCTGAAACTGCTTTACTTTAATTATAAATGTCCACTTTGGAGCTGGATTGGTCAGCAACATTCACACATTCACACATCTAACTGTCTTCAAATAGCATCAAACCTCATGTGCTGCTTTATCCAATCAAACCAGACGACTCTTCTTTCTATTTGTCACATTGTCTGACATAACTGAGCGAGGAAACATCAGTTACACTTATAAGAGCAGCACAACACAAATCTGTGCTTAAGATAAGAACTGAAAATGATATCAGGGAAAAAAGGTAAAAGTAAGGAGGGGCTGTTAAGGGGAAAAAAGGTCTTCAGGGGGCACGAGCCACTTAGCTAGGTGAGAGGTGAGCAGAGGAAGCAGTGCCAAAAGAATTCTTAATCATCACTGTTCACTGTCTGGGAAGGCGTGAGAAGAACATGTTTGCCTTAAGCGCTTCTCACCACTCACTTTTTTCCCTCAAGCACGGAGATGCACGCATCTCTCCTCTCTGACCACGCCTTCAATCAATTATTTAGGCAGAAAACAAAGGTCTGCACCGAGCCATGAATAATGGAAGGTGAGAAGGCAGAGAGAAGGATGGAGGTTAGAAACAGAGGCGTACAGTGACAAGAGGTGAGTCTCGCACAAATTTTTCTCCTCTGACAGACAGCTAAGAGCCTGCTCAGGTCAAGCCACTGAAGAGAAGCCAACAGGTGCAGACGTAGGCTGAGCAGGAAGATATATAGCGTGCATTCACACCTTTTCACACGCACACAAAGACACAGACAGACTGCCAGTACATGAAACTTAACAGGGGGGAAGAATGTGCACATGCACACACTGCACAAACCGTGCTGTGGAAGAATGAGAGCATAAAAATTTTTTCCAGGGCATTTACCACTCCAGTGTATCAAATGTGGCGAGTTCTTATTGCATCGAGTCAGATGGCATGCCAGTCAGACGCAGGGAAGCAGGGCAAGTGAGAGTGAAGGGAATTGTGATATTCATATTCAGGGTGCGTGTGTGTTTTATTTGCCTTGTTCTTGTTGGCCTTATTTTTCTTCAGAGAATGTTTGATGTTGGAGCCAAGATGAGTCCAGAGGAAAAGTAAAGAGAGAGAAACTGGGTAAAAAAAAAAAAGTGATATTGGGTGAAAGGAGAAAGAAGACAGGACGGAGACAAATAAGAGAGAAAAGCAGGGAGAAGAGAAGGATATAGTCTAACGTGATAGAAGTGAAAATGGATCACTCTGTGGTTGGTCTGGCTAGGTGTGTGCATGCATGTATGTGTTGAATGGATGGCACGGCAGGGAGAGAGGACGCGTAAAGTGTGCACACAAACCTTTGTGGTCTTGACTTTGTTGCCTGTGCTGCAGCTCCATCCTGTCAGATCTGGGAGCACCTTGCACTCCTCACCTTCCATGCATGGCTGCATCTGACACCACCACTTCTGAGCTACAATGGAGGCTACAAGAAGAAGAGACAGAGTTAATTTTAACTTTGATGAAGATGCAATCATGTCCTTTCATGTGTTTCCAAGACTTGTGTGCGTGTGTGAATTTTGACACCAAAATTTCACATGAACAAAGAGCCTCCAGAAAATAAACGTGGGTTTCAATCCGGTACAGTTATAATAACACGACTTTGGTGCTTTGAGATAAACAGTTGAAAGCACTAATTCTCAAATCAGCGCCCATTGAAGCACCATACAGAACAAGCCACAGCGAGATTATGCAATCAAAAGAGCGCCAGTCAAACCTCAACAAACAAAAACCAATGTGGAAAACATGATATGGAAAATATAAAATTATATTTCAGCTTGTTTCATTTATTAATTCTGCAAAGGCCTCTCATCGCTCGACTCAGATCTAGATGCTTTTTGCGACCACATCGTCCCAGTTCACTGAAAAACTGGTGTGGATGTTTAAATTACTCAATTCATGTAAGTCATTATCAGTAATGGGAAGTAAGTAACGCCGTTAGTAACGGCGAGTAATCTAACTAATTACTATTCCTATCGTTACAACGCCATTACAGTTACTAACAGTTACTAACAAGGAAAGGCGGTCCGTTACTATTTTTCAACAAACAGATGTTTGAAGCTGTGTTCAGCTCACAGCACCTTATATCAGCTGCACGGAAGTAGCTGTAAGTAATCTGGACGCTACAGCTTTAAGCAGCTGCGCGCTCCCGCGGACGGTGATCACCATCACTGTCTAGCACAACACCTGGAGCTCAGGGGGCAAACGTTTCAAGTGGGTGGGGGGGTCAGCTTCACTCTGCTCAATCACATGAGTGCTGCTGTTTGACTGAGGAAGAATAAAGTATATTTATTATTATATTTATTAAGTATGTTTATATTTAGATGTTTTATATCGGGATATGAGATTTTGGTCATATCGCACAGCCCTAACGGAAGGAGCTGTAAGTAATCTGGGCGCTACAGCGTTTAGCAGCTGCGCTCCCCCAGGCAGCAATCACTTTTTGGCACAACACCTGGAGCTAAGGGGGCAAAACAATGATATGAGTGCTGCTGGTTGACTGAGGAAGAATAAAGTAGTCGTGGTAAGCCAATCACATGACCACTTAAAGACAAAGCAACAAGGTGACATATACCAGTTTATAAATTGTTTGTGTAAAACCAGAGTCATGATAAACAAGATATATGCTGTTTATTCCTCAATAGTTTCCTCACGTTTACTGTCTAAGGACAGCGCAGCGAGCACGCTCTGCTTATGAGCAAAAAACAAAACAAAAAACAGGACGTTTTAGGAGTGATGGCGAGAGAGAGAGAGCGAGCGAGAGACAGCAGAAAAAGAGAGAGTGAGTTTTGAGACGTGAGAGATTTGTGACGTTTAGCGTGTTTGGAGTGTGTAGTTAATGTGCTGTCTTGTGTAGTTAGTGCGTTGTGGATAGTTTTGTGTTGTGTGTCAGAACAATGAGGCGACTGCTGTCTCCAGGTAGAAACAGCAGTGATACACCTGCTGCTGTCAGACCTGCAGGTATCAGGCTGTGATGTTTCCTTTATAGTGGACAGAAATGATGTTTTTGGAGAGGCACAAATAATTTGTGTGGCATCTTAGTGAAGAACAGCTGATTGTTCTG